TCAGCTCTCCGCATTTGTCGGAGTATACTCCGACTTATATGTGCGGAAGGGCCTCATTTGGAATTCCCACATGGCTAGGAACACACTCTTCAATCAGCTTCCCCATATAAATGTCACACTAAGGGCATTTTCCTCCCATTGTTATCGAATCCTAGAGAACGTTATCTCTCTGAGATAGATAGATCCCTATCCGTTGTTGCTATCTGTGTCGATCTTGCGCTGTCACTAGTTTATCAGCTCCACATAAGGATTGATTTGTGTGGTCGATCAGCTGCCATCTCCATCAGTGAGTAAGTGTTATGTTCTGAGTAGTTACACCCGGGAATGTTCAGTGGTGGTTATTAGTAAGAGAGAAGCGACTGGGTCGTTGATATGCGATCTGATATTTCCACAGTTTCCAGGATGACTCAAGTGAAGCTCCTCCCCTCGGACGTCCGTCGCCCGAGGCAAGAGCAAAGACCTGCCGAGAAGAATAGTGGTAACATCAAGCTACGACCAGCTGCTGTGACCACCGTCTCGACGACGCCCAAAGGTCGACACGATAAGACATCGCGGAATGGTTCCGGTGCTAAGGTAGAATTACTAGGAGTACACTGGGTCGGGGATAGAGGTTTGTGAGGGCGCGAGCTATTGTCAGAATCTGCCTGAGGGAACACCTTATATAACGGCGGGGATGAGGCCCGGTCGAAGCTTCTACGTAGGGGTTCGCGCCCCTTCATAGCTCTATTGGTTCATCCTTATTAACGTAGGATAGTATCCACCCATCGGAAGCCCAATCAGCTAGCAGGCGGACTTCTCTACCAAAGTCGGGCAGCACTCGCGTAAGTGGAGGAATAAGGAAATATGTCTAACGGCATATTCAGAATTGCGATGCTCTCAGAAACGGGATCGGCCGAGGAGTAGATCACCAAGGAGCGCTGCCATTGGTGACGATCTGCATGAAGTGAGTCTGAGGCCGGCGCATCCTAGCAGTGGAGGTGGGTAGAGGGAGCAGACTCTG